TTTTTTTTTAAGTTTTTAGTTTTTTTTAGTTTTTCTTTTTTTTTTCCCACAGCTGCTCCTCACAATTCACCCGGGGCCAAGTCCCACTAGCAGCGTTGAGCTACCTCAACGCCTGAATGTGGACGCTTTTGCGGAGTTGTGCAGAAACGGTGTTGAGTTTCCTGAACTGCGTTTCTCCTACGTGGCAGTCGAGACGAGGATTAATTCCTTTTTTTTTTTTTTTTTTTGATCCTCACAATTCACCCGGGGCCAAGTCCCACAAGCAGCGTTGAGCTACCTCAACGCCTGAATGTGGACGCTTTTGCGGAGTTGTGCAGAAATGGTGTTGAGTTTCCTGAACTGCACTTCTCCACAAACACGTCCAGATTCAGACGTTGAGCTACCTCAACGCCTGAATATGGACGCTTTTGCGGAGATGTGCATCCTGAACTCCACGTCTCCACAAACACGTCCAGATTCAGGCGTTGAGGTAGCTCAACGCTGCTAGTGGGCCTTGGCCCCCGGTTACTGACAGCATCAGCCAGCTTATAATCCCACATTTTCAGAAAGAGAAAAATACCACAAAAAAAAAGAAAAGAAAAGAATAATATGCCAGGTCCAGTCCATGTGACTGAATGGTACCCCAGCCCATCGATAACCGTTGATAAAAGAGACCTGAGTCTGGTCGCCTTCAAAAAAAATGAGGAAAAAAGGGAAAAAGAAAACAAACAAACAAATATATATATATATATATGCTTTTTTCCGCCTTTGCGCTCCGACTCACAGTGTGACAATATATCGTCACAAATAGAACTGCCGACGGTAAACCGTAGGCAGAGAGAGAGAAGAGGACAACAAACGAGGGGCTGTGACAAACTGTTTCGTCGGAGTTTCACCGACTCATCAGGAGGCTGAATATATATATAGACTGTAGACATGTATATCGCCAAACAGAGCTGCCCGGCAGACCTTAGGCAGAGAGGGAGAAGAGGACAACAAACGAGGGGCTGTGTATATATAGTCAAACAGTGCTGCCCGGTAAACCGTAGGCAGAGAGGGAGAAGAGGACAACAAACGAGGGGCTGTGGCTGTGTATATATTATATATTTACCGGGCAGCTCTGTTTGACTATATATATTGTCACATGAAGATCAGAGCGCAAAAGCGAAAAAAGGAAACAAAAAAGATTAAAAAAAAAAAAAAAAAAAAAAGATATCAATTCATTTTTTATCTTCTTCCTTCCAACCCCCACCGTTCAGAAACTCTTGCGTACAAGGCCGCCCACGTGGATGTGGTTGAGCGGCGGCTGCCCCCAACCCCGTGTGTCATATCGACCCACTTGCACACAGCCAAGAGGCAAAGCGGCAAAGAAAGAGGAAGGGAACAGCCAAATACAACAAAACAGGGGGAAACAAACATATAACAGATCCTAGATGACAAGTCCCACATGCAAGCACCGCCCCCTACATCACAGGCCAAACGACGGTACAACGACCAACCAGGATATCAATCAACACCCTTGCCTGCAAAAAAAGCAATCCCTGACAACAAACCCTTCGTGCTCGCCAGACAATAGACACCCTATTTTCATGGTTTCAACGCATGCTTCGCTGGTCTAAACTGAAATACTGGGACACCACCAACGGCAATATGATTCACAGTGTGACGATATATATATATCGTCACAAACAGAACTGCCCGGTAAACCGTAGGCAGAGAGAGAGAAGAGGACAACAAACAAGGGGCTGATATATATATTGTCACAAAAATATCAGAGCGCAAAAGCGGAAAGAAAGAAAGAAAAACAGGAAAAAAATGAATTTATTATTTAATCTTCTTCCTTATAACTCCCCCTGTTCAGAACCTCTTGCGTACAAGGCCGCCCACGTGGATGTAGGTTGAGCGGCGGCTGCCCCCACCCCCGTGTGTCATATCGACCCACTATATATATATACTTCTTTTCCTTTCCTTGTTTTGCTTTTTTTCGCCTTCGCGCTCTGATTCACAGTGTGACAATGACAATATATATATATAATTATAAATTAACAATATTCTTCTCTCAAATTCTTTCACCTTCAGTACCTACCTATCACTGCTCCTAAGGGTATATAGAGGGGACCCCCTGCAAGCATAAGTACCTCACAAACTTGGAGGGATTCATGTTGCCATTGTATCAAACAAGAATGGAAACATTGTTCTACCTCCCTCTATCTGACTCTTCTTTTCTTTCTATCTAGCCACGAGCACATCCAATCAGCCGCGCTCTCTCAACGTCTGATTCCACGTGGGCAGTAATTGCTCCCCATATCCCAACCAGCGAGAGATCACCCGGTGACGTCAACCCGGTGACGTCAACCCCTCACACACCAGTAGTCCCACTATGTTGGTTCATGTCTGCTACCATCATTGTCTAGCACTACTAAGAATACGCATAAGGGGCCAAGTTCCCAGTGCAAAGCCGGATAACAACGACAGCACTGTCTGTCCATGTCCGCAATGCTGTACACACACACACACACACACCTGTCTCTTATACACATCTAGATGTGTATAAGAGACAGTTTCAAATCTATCCCGATGACGAACGGTTTGATGGAGCGATCGAGGGTCCCGACGAAGGGCCCCGATCGAGACACGAAACTTGGTGGTTGGATA